TGGCATTCTGCATACCTCCGAAATCCATTGGTTGATACAAAATCGCGTGCGCTGAAACTCCTGTTTTATGGTGCATTGTGAGCACAAATCAATGTTTTACACCTCCCGACGGGTCAAAAGGTACCGCGACACTTATCTCTTCGCATGTCAGCGAAAGTACATTTCATGTCCTTTCAATAAAGCCATAAAAATGGTAGGTCCCGCTGAAACAAACAAGTTTTGCAATCGCTCTGTCAGACCATGTCCTCAGAAAATGTCTAAAATCTGCCCTGCCCCATTGACCTTTGACCTGTGACCTCCAATTTCGGCACAGTGATGGCTTTTCCTACCATGAATGCTATAACACGCGACTATCAACGAGCCTAGGTCGAGCCGTTTAGATTTGTTGCGTAAAAATTCTGCATTTCCTCCGGCATACTTAAGATTAAGGATGGAATTTTCCTTCTTTTACACCTCTGACCTTTGAACTTTGACCGCCCATCTTTAACATCGCCAACTTGTTTTTTCGAATTCCACCGCCGCCCCCCCCCCCCACCGTCCGACTTTCGACTACGCAGTTACGTCGAGGCCCGTTTAGATTTTGTTCCACTGTGATGGACACACGCACGAGCACCGGAACCGCACGCACACACGACGATCATGCGATCTACACGTGCATCTGGACTACGTCAGATTTGACTAAAAAAAGATAACATTTCAAATATTTGGGAAATCGAATCGAACGGAATCGAAATGCGAGAAGCTAATATCGAGATACGGGATCGAATCGAAGAGCTGGTAACTTTACAGCCCTAATAGTTTACCAGGGTACGTTCCGCAGATACCCTGGGACGACATAGACCGCCTCCTGCCTAATATTATCTTATACTCCTCGATATTAAATCTACTTCCTGATATATATGCATTATATCATGAAGTTAGCGTCTAAAGTAGTATACTATAGCCGCGTAGCAGTTCCGGCTGCCAGTGGGCAACTGTAGGCGCGGGACTATAGCGAAGAGCACTTGGAACCGTTTCAAGATAATAAAAGGATAGGTTAATAAAATACAACATGTCAATAGCGCTACTAACTACAAGTAGCCCCGCGGACCCAGCAATAGTCTTAATGTTTGATTTGACACTAATAACTTCACTCAACAACGGTTAAATACACCATGCAACACATATGCCGCACCGCCATTGTGCATGCACAGATACACAGTAGATAGGAGTAGATCCTCTCTATCTACTGGGAGGTGGGATAGGAGTGGATAATAGGAGGAATACGGACGGATAGGATAGGATATCTAAGCTGATCTGGGATAGGATATATAAGGATAGGTACAATCGGATAACTATATCCGGATATAGGGGATACTATATCGGATATAGGCATACTAATACATGCGATAGTATAGGAAGGATACTATATCTAGGATAGGATATCATACTGGAGGATAGGAGTGATACTCTATGACTGATGTATCTGTGCAGCACAATGCGTGCGGGCTATGTGTTTCATCGGTAGTAATTTAAACGGTTGAAGTGAAAGTATTAGGTACAACATCAAACATTACAGAGCTATTGTCTGTACTGTAGTAGTAGAGCTACTGACAAGTTGTATTATAACCATCATTTTATTAATTGAACGGATCCAAGTGGCTGTGGCTATAGTATCTACTACGAGAGCTAATCAGGAGAAGATAACCTATACTAGGTAGGTAATGCTATCCTCTATCACTATATATCGTAGATCTAGGACTATTAATATTATATAATATTATCTACTCCGTCCAGTCCTGAATTCAGTGATATATATTGCTGTCTGTCGTGTGGCAATCTATAATGTCTTAAGACTAAGAGTAGAGAGTAAGACTAATGTAGTAATAGATCTATCATCATATCTATATTACCTATTAAGATTAGCTAGACTATTAATCTCTACATAGGAAATAATATGGCCTATGAGCCTAAGAAGCGCAAGAGAAGACGTTGTATAACACAGGCCTAGCAAACACTGAGAACAATAATATAATCATAGCATTGATTACATATCCTAATTTTAATGTTGTTGACCTTGGTTTCACTTACTCAGGGCCAACACTGAGCGCAACATTATACCAATATACATAGGCAAAACGGAAGTTATTGCGACACTGCAATCTTGCTGAGCCAAATCAACAAGATAAACCACTCATGCGAAATCACGTGCAATGACATGTAGTACGCACATTCGGGTACCCTCGGACCATTCAGAGAATAGCGCTGTTTTCTAGGCATGACGGGAAGAGTCGAATGGGTTTTCCGATTGGTAGTACGCAATGGAGCGGGCCACGTCCGCCATTTAGGAAGCAAAACCCGGCTCCGCGTCTGTTTTGATAACATAGAAATAATATGCGATAACCATGGTTAATATATATTATGTATAATTATGAATATAATGTAATAAGATAATATTTTTATGCCAATAGGCTGATCAAATCTCTCCCTCAAAGTGTAAAAAATCTAACAATGATTCATAATCGAATGTATAAATATGTAGTATGTACACAGTGGCAGTGCCAGCCTAGTGGTGTAGGGAAGTGACTATAACGCACGGGCGAGTTTAGAAGAGGAGAAGGTGATGAGGAGGGGGGAAGCTGGTGGAGACGAAGAGGGGAGAAGCTGTGAGAAGGAGGTAAGAGGAGAATGGAGGGCGGAGCAAGGGAGCTGTGGAGGAGGAGGGGGGAGAAGGGGAGAGGGAGCTGGTGGAGGAGGTCGAGCGGGGAGAAGGGAGAAGGGGGAATGAGGAGGGGGAGAAGGCGAGCTGGTGAAGGGAGGAGGGGAGAAGGGAAAGGGGATAAGGAGGGAGAAGGGAGCGCTGGTGGAGGAGGAGGGGGAAGAGAGGGAGAATGGGATAAGGAGGCTGGGGGGAGAAGGGAGGCTGTGGAAGGAAGGAGAGGGGACGAAGGGAGAAGGTTTGTGGAGGAGGGGGAGAAGCTGGTGGAGAGGAGGAGGGAGAAGAGAAAGAAGAGTGGTGGAGGAAGGAAAGATGGGAGAAAGCTGGTGGAGAAGGAGGAGGGGGAGCGCTGGTGGAGAGGAGGAGGGGGAGAAAGCCTGGTGGAGGGGAAGGGGAGAAGCATGTGGAGAAGGAGAGAGGGGAGAGCTGGTCGTAGCTTCCTCCTCTCCACCAGCTTGCGTATCCCCTTCTCCTTCTGGCCACAGCTCCCTTCTCCCCATCCTTCTCGGCCTTCCTCCTTCTCCAGCCGAGGGGAGTACAGCGATGAGCGCGGCGTGGCAGTCGGAAGGAACTATCTCCCACTGCGCCCCCTTCTGCACACCAGCTTCGCCCCTCCTCCTTCTACGCAACACGCTTCTCCTTCCTCCTTGACCCCTTCTCCACCAGCTTCTCCGCTTCTTCTCCAACCCCTCTCTTCTCCGCCTTCTCAGCTTCTGCCACCCTCTCCCCACTCGCTCCTTCTCCACACCTTCTCACCTTCCTCCTTCCCCTTCTCCACCAGCTTCTCCTTCCTTCTCCAGCCACCTCTCTTCTCCCCCTCCTCCTTCTCACAAAAGCCCGTTCTCCTTCTCCCTCCTCCTCTCCCGCAGCTTCTGTCCCTTCCTTCTCCACCACCGTCTCTTCTCCGCCACCTCCTACCCATTCTCCACCTGCTTCTCCCTTCCTTCTCGCACACACCTTTCTTCTCCCACGGCTCTTCCTTTCCCACCAGCCTCTCGCGCGCCCCTCTTCTCGCAACAACCTTCCGCCTTGCTCCTTCGCTCCCATTCTCCACCAGCTTCTCACCTTCCTCCCACCCCGTCTCTTCTCCCCTCCTGCCTTCTCCACCAGTTCTTCCCCGCTCCTCCTCGCCAACACCTCTCGCCTTCATCCCACTGCCTCTTCTCCACACTTCTCCCTTCCTCCTCCTCCAGGCCACCTTCTTCCTTCTCCCTTCTTCTTTTCCACCAAGCGTCTCCCTTCCCTTCTCTCACCACCGTTCTCCCTTACTCGCTTCTCCACCAGCTTCATCCCCTCCTCCTTCTCCACCCGCGTTCTCCTTCTCTCCCTTCCTCATTCTAGGCCATATTGAGTTGGCATACGGCCGCCGTGCGTAAGGCCATATTGAAATGCTATCCACACGGCCGCCGTGCGTATACTGTGATACGTCTCGCCAGCTGTGTAGTGTCAGACAGTGTCAGTGGTAGCAGTGCACAGGCACTTCATTGGACCGTCTCAACCAATAATGGTAATTAAAACTAAATGTATCCTACTATCAAGTATTAAATGTTTCTACTACTCTATTTCGGGCCTATTATTGTCGAATAACATTGCTGGTAAATGCCGTTTAAATGTGCTCATCTGCAACACACAAGTACAGTGAAGTACAGACCACGTACGCCTAACCCGACCAGGCGTGTGAACTAACGTCATACACCATTGAATACACCTGTGATAACGTTAATACACCAAGGTATTCTAACCCTAGCAATACCGTTTTCTTGGAGCTAGTACGGCCCTGTGGCACAAACAACACTGGGCACTGTACTACCTGATCAAAAACAAAGATTGGGCACAACTCTTATCACGATAGGATTTCGACAAAAAGAATGTTTTTCTCACCTTTCCGTATTTCTGGGGAAACCTGACGAAAAGACAAGGTCGGGCTTATCAGCTGACGTTCGAGCAATTACAGGCAAGAACAGTAAGCTGAGCTGACAGCAACCAAGCAAGACAGTTTTCAGACAGTAGCAGATACAGCAACATCGCGGGAATTCGTGATGAAACTTGCTCCCAAAATGGCGGTACTGTGGCGCCCATAGACCTAACTACGCATATTATTGGATGAGCTGGTCTAATGCTTGTATGCCTACGGGCACTACTAGAATCTTTGCTGCAAATCCACGCTTCAACCGGTCACCGATCTCGAAAAGCAGTAAGAATATACGACCGGCTAATCGTACCAATCGCTATCTACTCAACGGTTTCCGGTAAGCGCAAGAAAAAGAAAATTTACAATAAGAATACAATGACCAAGATTCATAGAGTAAGAGTAAAAAGAATAATATAACTGGAGTGTGACCCGCATTTGCTTTTTTTTTGTGATTCATCTAGACCAAGACGCAACTCCATGCTTCCGTTGGCGGTACCAAGGAAATGTTCGGCGCCGTCGGCCTAGCTCAAGGCTTTCACTTGACTTACTGGGCAAGTGGGGACCAAAACACTTCAGAATGTAGGGACCGTACCTCCCACAGACTTTTTATTATGATATATATTCGTCGGAATACATGCGTGTGCACGTGTGCGCGCGAGCGATATAGAGATAGAGAGAGGAAGAGAGAGAGGGAGAGAGGGAGGGAGGGAGGGGAAGAGAGAGCAGAGAGAGAGAGAGAGGAGAGGGAGGGAGGGGGAAGAGATCGAAATAGAGAGAGAGAGAGAGGGAGAGAGGGGGAAGAGAATCGAATAGAGAGAGAGAGAGAGAGAGAGCGAAGAGAGGGGGGGGGGAGAAAGACGCGCAAGGCGAAAAAGAAAAAAAAGAAGACAAGGGAGAGATGCGAGGGGAAGGGAGGGAGGGAGAGAGTCTGAGAAATGAGAAAGGGAAAGAGAGAGAGAGCCGAGAGCACGAGAGAGAGCGAGAGCAGAGCGAGAGAGAGAGAGAGAGAGAGAGGGGGGGGGAGAGAGAACAGCGCAAGCGAAACAGAGAAAAACAGAAGACCAAAGGGAGGAGATAGCGCCGGGAAGGAGGGAGGGAGAGAGTCTGAGAGATCAGAGAAAGAGGAAAGAGAGAGAGAGCGAAGAGCGAGAGCAAGAGAGAGAGAGCGAGAGAGAGAGAGAGAGAGAGCAGAGAGAGAGAGGGAGGCGCTCTCGCGGGCGCGCATGAGCAGTTCGAGAACGTTTATGTGTGGACTATATTAATATAGTCACTAAATATAGGCGACATTTATACAACTATATGCACTAAAAAACTATTTTTCTTGCAAGTCCTTTACAACTTTACGTGTGCATCGCATTAACGCGTCCTACACTTAAGTGCAGATCAGGCCGACTTGTATCTTTCATTTGCAAACGACGTGAAGGCGACAAGCGGTTATTACGAAACCCGTACTCATGGGCATTGCCGAGTCAGGCAGATCTCGACAGCGCATCGGTAAAAGTACTGATACTACTTCCGGCTTCTTGTATTCCTGCCGTGAATTTTTATTGTACGTACACGTACGAAGCGGTAGTAGGGCCTAAGGGTATTTATGGGGGGAAAAGGGGAGAGGATTTGATTTGGGGCGTAAGCTTAGTTCATAGTTAGCCAGGTCGTATGTTACAGTTTGCGCATGCGCGAACTTCACCATCGAATTCTTCGGGGCCAGGATCATTTTGTGAGCAAAATCCATTCTATTTTTGACCATACCAGTACACATACGCATGCATGATGCTATGTAGTTGATATGCTACAGTCTTCGCCGTGATGCACGGCACGTACCGTGCGTGTGCGCGTGTGGTGCACGTACAGGTAGCGTGCGTGGTGCCCGCTACACATGCGTGCGCTACGTTTGCCCTACACGCTGCGGTGGCGTGCGTGTGTACGAAGGAGGTGCATGGGCGTGCGGCGATGTGCAGCGTAGCGTGCGTGCGTGCGCTGTGCACGTATGTGCGTCGGCGTGCGTGTGGACGTCTCCTTTTTAGGACGACTTAGACTGAGACTCGATCTCGCGCCCCACTCGTTGGACGCGCGCACCGATGGAGAGAAAGACGTCACGAAGGCGGATCCCACTTGTACTGTCGAAGTGGGAATCCTTGCGCTACCGCCAGAGGGGGCTCGTCGCCAGGCCGTGACAGCCACAGCCGCCGCCACTACAGGCGCAGGCGAGGCCGCAACAGCGCCGATGACCGTGGGCTGGGCGTCGGCTCCTCGCATGCCATTGCCGTATGTCGAGCTCCGTTTCCTGGGACGGGGCCGGAGTCTAGGCGGGCCGCGCCATCAGGCAGCCAAAACGGACGGACGCACGAACGGACGGACGCACGGACACTCATGCGATTCTACAAGCTGCATCTGACTTCGTCAGATGAGCTAAAAACAGACTTTGGCAGTACTCCCTGCAAAATATGCAAAGAAATCACATTTCATACTTTGAATTGAAGAAGTTTACCAAGGAGATAATCACTGGAAGTTGACTCGGCCACAGCTAAGGATATAGCAAAGTAATTGCCATATAAAGTGCTGTTATATCAGTAGGCCCCCTACAGTGAACGGTGCTTTCCTGTAGTTCTAATGCTAATAATCTCTAACAGATCACAGTAAAATCAATAATAAAATCATTTAGTAAATGTTATACAGGTACACTAAGGAAAACTGTGAAAATTAGTACGATGATCACACTACCCAAACAAAAATCTCAACTCTTAAGTGTCAACTAGACGTGTGGTTTCGGTTAATGGTGGCAAATTAAAAGCTAATTGAATCTGAGTGAGTGAAAACACCGGCACTGTTTGGGAAACATGAGAAGTGGCAACTAGAACACAACACACCGTTCTTTGTGTCCTCACTTCCTAGGCAAAAGCGAGGACGGACTCATGTGCATGTATGAAGGCAAGTTTCATTAATGCATTAATTGACGTTTGCAAGATTTTGTTTGACAGAACGATTTAAGGGACGAGGCACCTTTAACACAAACGTGATGGATATCTGTATCCACGTGGTCCCATATTGGCTATATAGTTCCTAAAGACTTTAGCATATCTTTCAATACCTGTATGATACACAATACGTTATATAAATCACTAGTGATAGTTTAAAAGATCTCAATAATTAATGCATCAATTACTACGGGCCTGTGTATTCAGCAACATTTGACTCACTATAAACACAGATTTGCCAAGTAAACAAGATCAACTGTTTTATATTGTATGTAATATATGATGTCAATCAATGCAATTTACTTGGCAAATGATAAGTAATACCAGGTTGTCGTGACTTTTTACCGAGTGTATAAGTCACACATCTTTTCCAAAAATACAATAGCAATCATACGACAAAACACATTAGCTGACTTAGTAGCTACACGGCTCTAGGATGCCATTGACCACCTGAAGAAGTTTTGGGTAACAGCTAGAGTAGACTAGGTAAAAAACCTGCCAAACTCGAAGATACTCGATAACACACTCTTACCTACATTGCGACTATGTGAACTAGGTAGACCTATGCAACGTTGCTGTAATACCAACTATGATCCATATAGTGTAGATGTAAAAAAAATATCTGGTGCAGATGGGCAGTGAGCAGGGGCTGGACTGCCAACACTCATTCTATACGTGTATCCGCGATGCTGCGAGGCGATGCTGCCGAGCAGTAACCTTCTGTACACATGGCATGAAAAACAGACTGAGGCCAGACAGCAGGATACAAAAGCCAGCTAGATAGAACGAAGTGTGATAGTCACCAGTTATGTCATACAGCCACCCTGTAACAAAACAAATAGCAGTGCTTTAAAATGTTATCACTTAAAGGTATAAGAGCAGTACACACACACATTGTATGTCATGGTATTTTGATCAAAGTGGTTTATTACAGTGGTATTGGCGTGCATTATGATGATGATAGTTTCTTGATAAATTGCTCACGAATAATACCAACTGATTTCAAGCAGTTCCATTGATTCTTGAAACACATTTTTTTTTGGGGGGGGGGCTAAAATGATTAGTTCCTACACTAAAAATTGTGTTCTATTTACACACTGGCTTACAATATATACAATCACTAGCTATAATATACCAAGTCGGGAAACTTTATGGGTATAGATATTCCTTGCCTTAAATTTGAGAGTATTAAGCATCCACTCAGCTTTCTAGACCGTGAAAAGCACGAAAAAATGATAAAAACAAATCTAGGTACTCAGAGTGAGGTAATTACCCCAGCAGTCGTTGGAGTTTGTCAGATCGAGGTCACACCTCATTTACATACCAGCGAATGGTGGTCCGAGGAGGTTTGCTATGCCTTGTCCCATATTAACGAGTCCATAAGCACTGGCAAAGCTGTCCACTCCCAGCAAGTCACAGAGTATTATCGATGTGAGAGCGTAGTTGACAGTAATGAAGAAGCCATATGACTGCAAGGAAAATGACACATTCTCAGCTAAAATACGATCAAGAACAAAATATGAGTTTACTCATCCCACACAACTATTTACTAGGGGTATAACAATTTACCGATACATCAGTGAATCGCAATACAGCGACCCACAATACCATAATTGATATGCAGGGTCTGTATCACGATACAAACGATACAGCTGAATAAGACAATTAAGCTAGAATATTAAATAAAACACATGTAATTCCTTTTAGATTAAATTATTTCTTTTATTACTGTACCCCGTCTCAGTATCGCGTAAATATTCACTGCCAGCTGTCGTAAAAATCTGGTAGAAATATGTGGTGCCCTTGTATTGTGAAAATTGTGGTGCCAATTGTATTCAGTCACAATTGCCGCCGAAAATTGTTACCGCCAAACAATCAAACAATCAAGAGTGCTGATTGACTGGTGCATGTCATTACTACGCATGCACGTACTGTAGCACTGTGTATGCATGGCGCGCATTTTCCATGGAGCTGTCGATTACAGGTCAGTCTAGAGCACACTCTGAACGTGTTGGTGTGTTTCAGCCATAGAAATACATATATGTATGTTATATAGTAACTAATTGTTTACCATGTGAGCATGGCTTTGACGTACTAATAATACGTTTGTGTTATATGAAAGTGTTCAGTAAAATAACATTAGAATTCGACTATTTATGTCGACCATCTCTTTCTGTCTGTGTATCACAATACGTATCATATCATAACCTACGTGTCAAGATACGTACCGATTTGTGATCCTAGCACCTATAGTGTATTAACCTCTACTATTTACATGGATATTATCGTGCTCGAAATAACTTTGTGAGTTGGCTTTTTGTAAGGTAACCACATTGTTTTATTTCTGCTATTAGATAGAAAGACGTTAATCAAACTATTTAAACATCCTATACATGCTGTACTTCTCCAGTCACAAATCCATAACCGTTGAAAGTCGCGGGACAACCACATAAACACACGACTTGTGTTTCTATTTCAAACAAAGAAATCGATTTCAGATATAGTTGAATTCAGGACTAAAAGTATCAAGCGCACGAAGAAACAGGTAAATTCACTTACCGAAGCATATACAGCAAGGGCCGTCGCAGAGGTGAGAAAAGGGACGAGCATCGTGATGGCGCCACTGATGCTCACGCAGACTGCGTACAACAGCAGTGCTCTCAGTTCTGGTCGATCACCGACATAGCCCATCACGATTAAACCGAGTGTGTTGACTATACCGATGAGGGAGACGAGAAAAGTCGCAAAGCTGCTGTCGATGCCCATGTTGAGTGCGTGATCCGTTATGTACATGTATGGGATGTCGTACCACATGTACAGGATAACATTGGACAGCCAGAAGAGCAAAAAGGTTGGATTTTTCAACATCGACATGTTCAGCATTCCGGTCACTGAATTTACAATCGTTCTCATCATATGCCATTTGCCGGTTTCTTCGGATATGCTTTCCAGTGATGGAGTCTCCATACCCGAATTGGGTCTCTGATAACTGAGATAGACGTCGGGGCAACTGGTGGCACGTACGCGGCACCGTCCCGCGTACAAGCACCATCTCCTGGCTGGCATCTCCCTTGGATGTATGAATGTCAGACGTGACATTGAGAGCTTACTGCTTGTCTTCGATTTCAGTTCGACCACCTCTGTCGTCGGAGGCATGCCTGCCTGATGAAGAATCACAGATGTGGACCGAGTCGAAGGGTAAATGGCGGGACCACAGCTCTTCCTACGTGTCGGACTGCCGGGGATGTCTGCCCTAACACTGTGAGGTGCACCCGCCGCTGAGAGGCTAGAGGCGTTGAGAGGAATCGAGCTGGTGACGTTCCTTCTGATGGCCCGCGATGATTGCGCCCCTCCGCGAATCGGTACTGCCACCATACTGGGCGGTGGGCGGCGGAAGCTTGGCACGCGACCCAGCGTTGGCTTTCTGTAGTCAGAGGCACGCCGGGCCAGGGAATGTTGCCTGCGATACACTCGCTTAGTGACCTGCCTATTACGTGGCATTGCAAGCCACTCAGCCAGCGACGACCTTCTGCTGGACTCGAGAGAGGAGGGCAAGCTATGAGAGCGTGTCAGCGACTGGTCAACACACTTTCTCGGCTTATTGCAATCTTGGGACAGGTAATCAAATGAGGAAGTATGATATTCAGGCATGGATGGGAGAGGCACGAGGATATCACTATGAGACCTGACAGTATCAAACTTTGACTGGCAAGAATGGCTGTGCGTAAGAGTGGAAGGGCTGCTAGTAAATGAATGACTGGCATCACACGGTTTAACACTACGGTGGCTATCCAATATTTCCCTTGCACCGGCTGTTCCCGGGTTTTCACTCATCATAACAAGTCTGTTGTATTCACAATCTGGCATAAAAAAACGAACAGACTGTCTTCGCTCTTGCCTTTTCTTAATTGCTGGACCACTAGCATTATATTCTTCCTGGCTATGCATGTCGCTGGTTAGACAATGATCTGTTGAAGACACATACTCTTTGAGATCATTTGAAGGATGGTACTGTGTCTGTGTGACAGAAGGTTCCAACCGCGCCGGTAAAACCGCCGGCAGGTCAACCATCGAACAGCTGGACTTGCTGCGACGCTTCAGGTCTGCTGGGAAGCAGGGAACTAGGATCTGTCCCTTCAGCCACCTAACGTGAGCCCGTCTAAACCTATCCGGCAGCATCGCCGTTAGTTCTCTCGCGTCGACGCCGCAGCCGTCTAGCAGTGGCCCACCCTCGCTGCCCTCACTGAGGTCATCGTCGTCGTCGTCGTCCGGCCACTCCAGGGGGCGCATCAGTGCGCCGCAGACGACGAGGTTGAGGAAGAGGCCGGCCGTGATGAGCATCGTGCCGCGGAAGCCGTACTCGGCGAGCAGGCGCTTGGTGAGCGGTGCAAACGCAAAGCAGCCGATGCCCGAGCCGCACGTCGCAAGGCCCGTCGCGAGGCAGCGCCGCCGCTCAAAGTAGTAGACGATGACGACGATCGCGGCGACGAAGCCTGTCGCGAGGCCGAGGCCCGCGACGATGCCGAGCGTGATGCACAGCATCTCGACGCTCGTCGCGAACATGCTGAGCACGTAGCCGACGGCGGTCAGCACGCCGCTGAAGATGAGCGCGCGCCGGCAGCCGTAGCGCTCGACGACGGCGCCGGCGAGCGGGCCGGCGATGAGCGGCACGGAGACGTAGAGGGCGCCGACGATCGCCGTCTTGCCGCCGCCGTCGCCGAAGCGCTCGAGCATCTCGACGTAGAGCACGCCGAACGCAAACGACGTGCCGTCCGAGATGAAGTGCACGACAAACGATGCTAGCACGATGACCCAGCCCCAGCCACCGTCCGGCGGGGGCGGGTACTCGCTCGAGTCAGAGCTGACCGAGCCGTCTGCGTACGGCTGCTCACCGCCGCCTTGTTTATAAGTTTTAGCTTCTGCCTCGGCCATATCGTGCCGTTGCTAGGCGACGATTGCCGCGTGGCGATTCCTACGTGCAACAGCGCAGAGAGTTTCGAGACACAGCGGTGCGGCCAGGATCTGTTCATTTGTGGATGCTGGTGAAGTTTTGTGCAGGTGTGGCTTCTCCCCAGGAGACTGCTGCAGTGCAAAAATAGAAGACTGTAGAAACCCAAATTCTGTATTGACGATGTTTGAAAGCATACAGTTCTAAAGACACGATACAGGTGCAATGGCAATATCAGCTAGCAGCCTAGCACACACAAATATAGCAAAACTCGTGTTTGACGAAAAATATTTTGCTCGAACATGATAGCTGCAATAACTAATTATGTGCCTGAGCACACATGTATACACCCATGTACACATTTAATGAGAATACTATCCTAATATACTATTCACTGGCTCCCCCAATTACTTTGCCACATATCCGGCCAATCTTTACATGTTTGTGGGTGTAATGGTCTGTAAAAAGTACTAACAACAGGTAATTGGTTGCCACAAAACCAATAATAATGCTACCTCACAAATGCCATATTTACTTTACAGGTTCTCACAAAAAGAAACGTTGCCCTGTATTTCAGACAGGACGATATTATTATTTATCCCCTGCAGTGTGTGGACTTTCAATGCCTACACTTAAAAGTTAAAGACGCACGTGTATACGAATACGAGTACATGTCCATATATGCTAATACTAATACACATGCACAGGCATGCACTGGAATTAACCAAATTAATATAGTACTCAGTACGGTGTCAACATGTTCCCATAATTTCAATGAAAATGATTCTTAAATAGCTAATTACACCACTCTAGTTTTAAAAGCTCTATTTTCTTTTAAGCATACTCTGTCAAAACGTTCATACTTGAATACAAAGGTGGTTGATTAGAAAGAATAAATGCCATTGTCTGGTGAAATATATGGCTGCTGTTTGTAGTGGGATCTCACTAGGGGAATAGAAAATCAGTGTCCACTGCAGGGCCGTAGGCTGAGCAAATTCCTAGGGGGGGGGCAGTGGCGGAACGATGGATTCAAGGAGGGGGTGAGAAACAGTTGGGGGGACTGGGAGGTCCTCCCACAGAAAATGTAGATCGCAGATGTTATTTGACGCACTTTTCAGTACATGTACAGCCTTCATTCTGACTACGACAAGTCTCTTTTAGTAGAACAATTGTTTTTTTTAAATTTTGCTCCAAAATCTAAGGGGCAGCTGCCCCCCCCCCCACTACGGCCCTGCACTGGTCACGTTTTGAAAGTTAATTTTATTACCATACATGTAGAGAGTGTAAAATGTAGTATTTGTAAACTGGACATGACAATCTTTTTGTCTGCTGTCATCAGTAATGATGCCACTATAAACAGGTGACTGTTCTAATATATACTATATAGAGGTGACCAGTACTACAGGTTTGACCGTAGATGTAATTGCATCAGTTATTCTGCAGCTTTTGGAAGGTTAATTTCTGGTTATTGTAGATATAGAACTTTGGTTTAACCCATCTGATCAAGCAAATATACCTATATCTCCCTTAATCTCAAATGAATGATAACAAGTCGTACAGCCAGGTGCCTGCCTAAAGCCTAGAATACCCCACTGCACACTTAATGGCTCGGTTCCGCGATCAGAGTTATCGCGAGATGATTCCCGTAGGTGGCGCTACGGATATACTACTTCCGGGTAGTACAGCTGACAGGGAATTGCGCAACATGCAACCAAAAGAGTGCGCGAAAAGCAAAACATTCTGCTGTGAGCTAGCCGGTGATGGTAGTCTGCTATGTTACAACCTAGTCAGTAGTTATATGTACCAGGTCCCAGGGGACAGCTTGGCCCCATTGTACGATCTGGATGTCGAGTTCATTTTAAAAATGTTGTCCGTTCAGAGTATAACATAGAATATTAGGTCCCTAGTGCAGTCGAGTGCTTTATTAAGTGACGGTAAAAATAACAAAATAAAATTTCGTACCGCGCTAACATCGCATGGGCGAATAGCGACGGTTGAGAAGTCTGTATAAGACTTTACAAGTACATATACCTGTTTTGTCTTGACCGATATATTATTTATTATATTATTAAAGCTTTTGCTCCTGGATTAGTATACATGTATTCCGACTACACAGGGGTTTGATGTTTGTGTTTGTTACAATCTTTTGACCCGATCGAATGTTCTTGCATGTATATCCATGGTGGATATGGTGCAGGTAAAATGCTGTCTTGCAGGACAGCTGCGACTGTGTGAAAATTGTTATTATAATTATATTATTAATAACAAACAATTAGAATTGATATCGAAGCGGTCAGGAATTGGTTGGCCATTTTTTACATTAAAGGTAAAGAACTAACACGAGATAAACGTATCTCCTTTTGCCTCTGATTAAGAGTGGTGTATACTCATTCTAGGATTAAAATACAAAATATCTGGTTCGTACTTTGGATTATTAGGTGTTGCCTGACATTAATTGCCTTGCTTATGGGCTATGTGATGAGTACGGAGTGTATGTGCGACATCAGACCAAAATTCTCTATAAATAATGACTACAATCATATGTTGTGAATGTGTGAAGAGGGTGTGTGTGAGGAGATGAACGTGAAATGGTGCTGTGTGTGGTGAGTGTGTGTCGTTATAATACGCTCGCAAAAGCTGTTGTGTCCGGCATACGTTTCGCGCACGGCCGACTCAACGGCATGCCTCTCCTATCATAACTTGGTAAGCCCTAAGGTCGCGAACACATTCTTACAAGATATGTTGACACTATATTTGCATCAATATTTTACTATCTTTCTTTTTCTTTTTCAGTTATTATTTTTTTCACATTCCACGTTCAAAAACATTAAAAATAGAGATCGCCTACTCAAAAATACCCTGATGTCGCAGTATGGTTTTCTCTCTGTGTGTGACCTGTAGTGTGTGGTGTGTAGTGTGGTATGTGTCAGTGTATGTGTGTGAGTGTGTGTGTGTGTTGGTGTAGTGTGTGTCGGAAGTGTGTGTGTTTACACAGCCTGTGTGTGTGTTGTGTGCGTGGCCCGTTGTGAGTGTATGGTAGGTGATGGTGTGGATGTGTCTATGTGTGCGCTGTGTGTGTGAATGTCGCCGTTGTGTGTGTGTGTATGTGCTTTGTGTATGCGTGTGTGTTGTGCTGTGTGTTGTGTGTAGCTGTGTGTGTTGTGTTTGTGTGTGTTGTGTGTGTGTGAGGGAGATGCGTTGCGTATGGTGTCTGCGGATGTCGTGTGTGGTGGATTGTGTGTGTAGTGATGGTGGGTAATGTATAATGTGAAAGTGTGTGTGTGTGTGTTGTGGAGATGAGTGTGGAGAATGTGTCGTGTGTGTGGTGGGCGATGCAAGCATATCTAGGGTTGCGCTGCGTTTCGTTGTGTGTGTGTGTGTGTACGTGTGTGTGTGTGTTGATGAAATATGTGTGTGTGGTGATGTGTGTGTGGATGCTGTGTGTGATGAGCGTGTGGTGTGTGGGATGTGTGTGTGTGTGTAAGTGCGTGCAGGTGGTAGTGCTATGTGTGTGTTTGGTGTGTCTGATTGTGTGCTGTGCTTAGTGAGTGTGTGTATGCGCCGGGAATGTGACGGGTAGCCGTATGACAGAGAGGAAGAGCCGCGGGAGAGAAGAGGAGAGGTAGTCCACGGATGCAACGTGGCGATGAGACATTTTCGAGTGACGAAACGAGGTTCGTGTGTGTGTAGGTGTGTGGTGTGATGTGTGTGTGTGTGCTGTGTGTGTGTTGTGTATCTGCGTAATGTGTGTTGTGTGTGAAATAATAAGTATGTGTGTGTGTGTGAGTGTGTTGATCATCGCTGTGTGTGTGTGTGTGTGTGGGGATACAGAGGTGTGGTGTGTGTGTGTGTGTGTCGATGTGTGTTGTGTGTGGGAGATTTGTGTGGGGCTGTGGGTGGGTGTTGCCTCGATTATGTGTTTGTGGTGTGTGATGTGTGTGTTTGTTGAGTTCAATGAGTGTTGAGTTCCCTTTTTCGTGTGTGTGTGTGTCGGTAATGATTGTGTGTGGTGTGTGCTGATGTGTGAGGTGTGTGTACCGGGTCAAACACTTCTTCAGTCACCAGCTCAGTACACTGCCATAGCCGCGACGGGGAGTGCCCTACAAATGATGGTTAGCTGTATACTGCCAGATGACAACAACTAAACGTTTCCATCTACGCTGAAACAATGTGGATCTACACCAGAAGTTTCGGTGGACCACCTGAACGGCGATGGCTAAGTATGCTAAGAATATAGTAAAATAGTATTTATATACCCTTTCTCTCTCAATAACCAGTAAAAAAAAGGATGGTTGAACAGAATTACTTAAGGTGCATCGGCTTTACGTAACGTGACACTAGGTAACGACGTATACACAATGCCATACTACAACACTGGAACTGAAGGGATGAGCGTGAATGGCTGTTGGCAACTGTGGTGGTAAGCGTAGTGTCTCAGTGTCAACTATCTCTCTTCAATAATAACTCTATGATTGTTTTGATAGAGATCACGCTGTATAAAGTCAGTTGTGTGCACAGACACGTGCACAGGTGTTGTGGGGCTGGCGTGACTCAGGCGTGAACTACCCGGAAGTTGAAGTCACCTAGCGGACAGCGGCTGTAACTCTACACCTTTGTATCGCGGAACCGAGCCATTGGGTTCAAGGCTATACCATGTCTCAAATACCACTTGTTGCGGCATTTCACGGGTGTACGCATTTTATTTTCGGTATCGCCCGCTAGGGGCGCTTATGTTTGGGTAAACAGTGCAAATGGCGGCGTGGACGTGGCAATGTGAATCTTCCACGATTGAATAATATATATCAGACTGTTTCACGAGTACACACGTCTTCATTATTCAATGTGTTTAAAATTATTAGAGGTAAGCACCGTCACACCACTAATTGCTTTTAGTATCAGAGCACCGACGAATTTCCAAAACGATTTACCCAGGAATAAGATATGTATGTTTGAATATGACATGCCAAGAAAACAATCACATTCAGAATTATTTTCGAATATCGCGCAAATAAAAACAATAAAATATTCCAGTCAAATTAGTGTAACGAAGAATCTAAAATACAATATTACACGTATATAGGTATGATTGTAGAGTTGTTAACCAGTTAGACGAAATAAACGTAATAGGACGTTG